TTTCAAACAATCATTGGATGAATTTTTTGTCAAATGACGGTTTCATTTCACAAGTGCATTGTATTGTGTTGTGGGAGTCGGTGAGGACTCGGGTTAAAGTGCATGAGTGAGTCTCATCTCATTACATGACATGACAAAGAATTTCTATCATTGGATGCATATCTTGATTGAAATGTTTTGAATTATTGATTGGTTGCATTGTAAACACTTCATATGCATCTAGATTGAGGAGTAGCCTCTGTAGGAGATACTCTATTGAGCATAGCTCACCCTATACGAGAACACATTTCAGGTGCGGGGTTTACACCGACGGAGGACTCTCATTCGGGGCCTCAAAGATGAAGAAAAGTTGACTTGTGGCTTTTGTAATACATTTTCCATGAACTTTGTAAAATTACAGTGTTGAGTATGAAATCGTGTGAATAGATTGTAATAGAACTTGTAGATATCAAGTTTTATGTGATAAACATTGTTAGACATGTTTTAGATGGTGTTGAGATGATTTGAAATGGTTTTAAAAGGAAAAACAGTAGAAATAGGCTAAATTGGGCAGAGAATACCGATACAGTGTACCGGTACAGTCTGGTTCAGCAAGCAAACAACACCGGTACACAGTATCGATACTCTTTCCAAAACTTTGAAAAAAATTTTGGAAGGCAGACAGTACCAGTACAGTTCAAACGGCACCGGTACTGCCAGGGCCAGTGAGCAAACAATATCGGTGCTCTCGACAAAATTTTGAAACTTTAAAACTAAAGTGTTGTGCTCTCGGTCTTTGATTCATTTGATTCCAAAGATGAAATTGGACAATAGAGAGGCATGAATTGTGGTACCTTGAGCCACGGTTAAATTAAATGATTAAAGGAACACGGGTAATACGTGTGAGTTAAAATTCCGTGTAATTGAAAAATATTAGCGTGATGTCGAATCAAATGACACTCAAGGGCATTTTTGCGGGTTGATGAGTCGTCAACGGGACCCCCGATTTTAGGGGCATCACACAACATTTCTCAGGCAAGACGCCCAACCCAAGTGCCCAACACCTCTCAAGCGCCCCAGCACCTCTCAGGCGCCCAACTCAAGTACCCAGCACCTCTCAAGCACCCAACCCAGGTGCCCAACACCTCTCAGGAGCCCAACCCTGGCGCCCAACCTCTTAGGCACCTAGCACAAGCGCCTAGCATCTCTCAGGCACCTAGCAGCCTTAGGGGCCTGGCTCCTTAGCGCCCTGCAGAGCACAAGCCCTGCCTTCTCCTCCGGTCACGCCCTAGAATCCAAAAGGAGATAAAAGTGGGAGAGTTTATACAGATGGAAATGTCCTACAAAGCTAAAATATATGTCAAGAATGGAGGAGGAGTCTTAGCTTGTGATTCAGAAAATCGTTTTCAGATTTCGGGGGTCAGGTCGATCCCTGAAATCCAGTCGAAGCGCAACATGGACGAATCGGGATTCTTCTCAGATTGCTAGAGAGCCCTTGTTGGGTTGAAACTGACGTTAACTTTATTTCCGTAGTCAAGGGGAGTCTTCGTGATCAGAATTCAAACTCAACTAAAATGCCCTATTCTCCAAGCTTCATTCGAAACATGGCATTGGGGGGACAAATGATAGGCCAGACCCAACTCATATTATAAGCCCAACTTAAATTAGAGAGTCCAACTTATAAAAATCTAATATCCAGCCCAAAGGGATCCACACCCGGTCAAGCTCATCAATTCGGCGAGCTACATCACCAAGGGAACATGCAGGTCATCCAAGAGCCTCATCCTCGCCGCCTTGGAAGGAGTCAACCCTCACCTCATCCTTTGATCGAATCTCATGGAGAGCACCGTAACTGTCTCAGCCGTTGAGAAGAAATCGTCAGCTCCAACAGATCAATCACTTAGTTACTAATATCTCGCTCAAATCTGTTATGAGACGATTATAAATTGTAAACCCCGCCAATACTTGGAGGGCAAATCACCCTCAGTCGAGCACATCTCTGTAACACTCTCTCCCTCAGCTTGTAGCTCCCTACTCTCCCTATATTTCTCGAAATAATAAAATATTTCGACGACCCTAGCCTTTCAAAGTGGACGTAAGTCACATTGACCGAACATTTATAAATCCTTATGTCTCTATATCTCTTTATTTGACTACTGCATTTATTATTGTTCACTTGACATGTGGTATGCAAAACTCAATTTGTGCATCACCATTGTCTTCAATGTGCTCTGATGGCAGCTTGTGCTATGGGGTTCTAATTACACTATGGATTTATAGTAATTCGGCTCTCGTGAGAATTTTCGCAAACATCATTTGTAGTTAAGAGAAAAACATTGGGATGTACGTACCAATGATTACATAAGTTTAAACAAATGTGGGTGGTGCAAGCTATGAGAGTGATCCGATTGGAATGTCTCGTTTACCCGAAGAGTGATGCTATTGGAACGTCCAGACATTTACTATATTTGTAAGTATTTTTATCTCTATTTTGAATGTTTTCATCACTGATGAAGTACCGAAAAAAAATAGTAAAAATAATTACCACAATAGTGATAAATTAACAACAAAAGGGATAATTTTTTGTATCGAAGAAAAATAGTAAAATAGTTAACATAAAAATAATAAAAACACCTACACCAATAATAAAAACACTCATAAAATTAATAAATCAACCGGTGATAAAATTTTTTAGTGATAAAATGGTCCATAAAAATAACTATTAAAATAGTAAATTTATTAGGTACGATATCTTTCTTTTTTTTCGTTACCGTAATTAAGTCTTAATATTTATGCCATTGTTATTGTTGAGATCAGTGTCGAGCCGACATTGAGGTAGGGGAATATAAGTCCCCATTTCCATCTTTTTTTCCACCGTTACCGCTGCCATATCTTTCCAATGGTTTCTTTGCCTCTTGTTAAAGAGGAAGATTACGGATTATAATTTTTTAAAATTAAGTTATAATATTTTGAATCGAAAATTATTTGTAAAGAATTATATTGATCTTAAAAAATTATAATCGATAATAAAATTAATAAATTTTAAAGGTCAAATTATCTATATCTATTATATTATAAAAAAAAGTGACAAACTTTTGATTAATAATAATAATCTTAATAAAATAATTAATGTCAATATTATTCTTATAAAGTCATAATAACAATATTAATATTACACCGAAAAGTGACAAACTTTGGGAAAAGGCTACGGTATCGTCAATGGTATTATACCGAAAATTATAGTCTTTTAATATTAAGTTATAACTTTTTTAAGGTATAAGTAATAACATTAAAGGACATGATCGATCGTAAAAGGTTGAGATCGATATCGAGAGTTTATGATCAATCATGAGTGTCTATAATCGATTATGATCTTTTCTTGAATAGCTATAACTTCTCTTTTTAAATTTATAATTTTACTATAAAAAATAATAATCGACGATATTGGTATCACTTTTTTTTTGTTTTTGTGATACCATAGACTTTCCCTGCGCCTTATCTACTTCCAGTCTTCCTCGTATTCTGCAGCTTCTTTTCCATAAGAGTAGAAACTCTATAGACATTATAGAGCTATTTCTGTTATGGGTCAGTGGTCTATTTTGGCTTTTTTTTTTTTTTTTTCTTCTGTTGTTGTTGCATCTGTCATGTAATGGAATACACGTGGATTAGTGAATGCAAAATTGCGTATATTTGACCTTCACTAAATGTTATAGTAGCGGTAATCTCCTCCACTAAATAAGTGTATTTTAAATAAAGAAATACATGTGGAGCTTAATAGAAACTGATTTCAAAGAAAAAAAAGTTAAGCTTTTAATGTTTGGTAGTTCTTTAGAAGCCGTCGAATAATATTTGGCAGCCACAGTCCTTCCAGATCATGACTTTCTTTTGGTCTGCTCTGACTCGGCGGAAGAATGAATAGAAAGAAAATATCGTTTCTAAGTGTATAGAATAAAAATATTTTGATTCTGCGAAAAAAAAAGAATATTACAATCCAACTAATTAACAAAAAACCACATGTTGTCTGGAGTCTAACAAAAATGACAGCACTGAATTCAGAATATTCTATAATTTATTATTAATTTTTGAATTCTTTTTTAAAATGGCAAAAACGAAATTTGAGGGCATAAATGATGTAGAGCTAATGCCAAAGCGATGAGTCTTGATCCAACACCACTAGTCTTAATCAATTCTAAATCCGACTCATTCTATCTCTATTATCACTTTTTAACTTTTTATGGCTTTTAGACGCACGACGGTCTTGTTACTCCAAGTAATCTCTGTCAATGATATTGAAGAAACCATTCGCTTATACCTTTAAATTTATCACTATAACCTATTTAATAGAATTAATATCTAATTTGATGGTGGAACAAGGGATAATTTGTCAATTCTCACGTTATGAGTTTGAGTTTTTCTAATTGCATAAAATATGGTTTTAATTAATGCAAATGATTTCCAAGCATCTCCCTAATTCGAGATCTATATTGCGAAGGCCATCTAAGTTTTGAAGATGATTCTCCATTACCAAAACCCCACTACTAAAAAATAAATATTTATTATTCATGAACACTTCTTATATAATCCCCAATACGATATGTTATTATTAAATTTAAATTCAACTCTATGACAATTTGTTCATCCAAAAATACATATTATTAAAAGATAAAGTAGTAAAACAAGCTGACAAAAGGTCTGTAGCTGCCTATTTTTTGTTTAGGCAAGTGTCTAGACTTATAAACCTCTTATTCTTTGGCAATGTAGCATCAAACGGATGTGTTACATATTAGGTCAAACAATGGCGACCACTCCAAGAGCAACCACTGCAGCCATGAGAACTTGATATCCCGACGCCACGATCCCGGAGACTGAACTGGTTGGTGGTTCAGCTGCCGGTGCCGGAGCTCCTACCTCGACAGTGATGGCCAGCTTCTGTTTTTGGTCAGCACAATGACTTGCTATACCACAAATGTACCATTTTTACCTGGTGTGGCCAGGGTGATCACATCACGTACAGAACCGACTTAGTTCTGCGGTGGCTTGATGCAACTATCGAATGCAATTTTAGTCGCTTTGATCACATTATGGTGCCCTTGGGTGTAGTTGAAAACTGCATACAAAAATTTTTGTTCGTTAGAACATTGGGTATGTTTAAAGTTGACTTAAAACCTTAACTTTTTTTTGTTTCATAGGAAAAGAAGTCTGGTCCGTTTGGATCCGAGCTTATTCAGCAGCAGTTTTTTAACTCCGATTTTTTTATTTCACTTTTCAAACATCTGTTTCACACCCAAAAAAGTTAGCTCCAAACGAGTCCATTGTTTTTATATATTGCAGTAAGGTTGATATATTCAAAAGACAGTGTGCCCCTTCGCCGAATGCCCAATCTGCTCGAGTGAAGTGGAAACAACTGAGCACATGCTATTTGGATGCGAATGGACCAAAAGAGTCTGGTTTGGCTGGGTGTAAGAATTGAAAAGGAACTTCCAATCACAATCTCTCAATGGTCTTCCTCAGTACTGGACTCCTTAGATAACAACCAGCAGGCATTGGAAGTAATGGGAAAAATAGAAACAATTGGATGGACAATTTGAAAAGCAAGAAATCAGAAAGTCTTCAATCAAGAGGAGACAAATGCTTTTGCTACAATCCTCAGATCACAATCACTCTGGAATGAAGTAAACTCACTTAATTCCCTCCCCTCGATGCACCAAGCGTCCGAACCAATCCAAAGGGAGACTCAAAACTCAGTGCTAAGCACAGGACCAGTGCTTTGTTGTGATGGGGCTTTTAAAGGGAAGAAGGTGGCTGTAGGAGTTATTGTATGGGATAGCGATGGTAAAGTCAGGGATGGCATAGGCAAACAAGTCCCAGCGGTGTCTAGCTTATACTCAGAAGCAGTGACTGTGTGGCAAGCCTGTCTTCTGGTTTATACCATGCAGCTCCAGCAGGCCACTATTGTAAGTGATAATGCTGAGCTCAACTGAAGGAGTCCCCCCCTGGGAAATCAGCTCTCTGGTCGAAGATATCAAAGCTATTGCAAGACAACTTACCTTAAAGTTCTTACACAAGTGTAGAGCCGATAACAAGACAGCTCACTAGGTGGCAGCATCAGTTTTGTCCCATACTCTACCATTGAGTTGGGTCATCTGTCCACCACCAGAGTCAAGACTTTCCTTTCATCAGATTGTAACTACTTATTAATTTCCAAGTTAAATGAAATGGTGCATTTATTGGTCAAAAAAAAAAAGTGTAAGGCTGATATACAAGATTTTGTGGAAGGAACGTTTATTTGTATGGATATACTCAAGCAAGATCCCAAAATTTAGCCTTATCAGAACGGGAATTTCCTAATTAAACATGGATGGAGAGGGCATGCCCCCACTCCCTCCTAGAGCATGGGTGCAACTTGGATGAGGCAACCTGAGCTCAACTCGAAAATAGTAAATACTTGAATAGAAAACTTCAATCCTCAGGTTGAGTCAATCCCAATCCGACATATTTAGTATTAGAATAAAAAAATTCAATGCTTGGGTTGAGTTTAGGCAAATAAATTCAAACATTGTTGAAATTTGGGATGAATGAATTTACTTGAGTTTGCGTCACGGGTATTTAGGTCTAAACCCAAATCTACCTCAAACTCAATAGGTTAACCCAAATTTCAATCTAAGTCGTAGCACTCCATAATCAAACTTGAATTTTTCAACCCGATAGTTAAACCCAAACATAGAACTCGAAATGAACTCAAATTTCGGTCCAAGTCATTCAACCTGAGTTTTAAAATCCAAACACAAGTATTTTCAAGTTGAATGATTCGGGTTGAATGTCGGGTTCGGGTCGGCATTGGTGTCCAGTAACTCACGATGACCCCCGACTCGCCCAAGTTTGTACTCGTAAAACATAGTTAGCAAAATAACTTACCTAGGGTGTCTCCAACATTGAATACTTTTTCCTTGGCCCAAGTTTGATAATCAAAATCGATGGTCCAACCCTTATCACCTCCGACCCAAATTTCAGCTGCCATGGCGACGGAGGGAAGAGCAACAGCCACAATGGCAAGGACGACAAGCAAATTCTTGGAAGCCATTACACCTTTGATTTACTTTCACCAAAGTTGTCCCTTGTGCAATTGCTTGAATGTGCTCTGATGGCTTGTGCTAAGAGGTCTTATTACAATGTCTATTTATAGTGAATATCTTCATTGAAGGCCACGGAGTATTTGAGAACAGGCGGCCGCCCACAATGTGTTTGCTAGAAGTAAAAAAAACTTTGGGTTTTACGTGCCATGAGGTTAACAAAATATGGGTGGTAATAAAAATATCTACAACAATGATAAAAAACATTCACAAAATTAATAAATAAACCACAACAGTGATTAATTTTTAATTGTAAAATAATTCACAAAAATTATAAAAATAACTATTAAAATAATAAATTTTAAATGTATGATATCATTTTTTTTTTCGATATCATAGTCGATTCCTAATATTTATGTCATTGTTATTGTTGAGGTCAGTGTCTGGCCGACGTTAGGGAATACAAGTCCCCATTTGGTTTCTTTGTCTCTCGTTAAAGAGGAAGATTACGGATTATAACTTTTCAAAATTAAGTTATAATATTTTGAACCGCAAATTATTTGTAAAGAATATGATTAATCTTAAAAAAATAGAGTCGATAATAAAATTTATAATTTTTAAAGGTGAAATTATTTATATCTATACTATTATAAAATATCAAAAAAAATGACAAACTTTTGATTAATAATAATATTCTTAATAAAATAACTATTCTCAATATTATACTTATAAAGTTATAATTAGGAATGTTCATGGGTTGGGTTACCCACGAGTCCAATTATCCAGCCCGAAAAAATAGACTCGAAGCCCGATAATTAATCACCTGAGCCTGAACCAAATATCTTTTAAAAAGAGGGTTTGAGTTTGCCTCCAAACCCATTACCCGGCCTAAAATCTGGCCTAAGAACCCGCCCGCTCACCAAGCCCAGCTAGCCCACCATTCCTTTAAAAAAAATTATACTTTTAGATTATTAAATTTAAAAATTTGAAATAAATCTCCTAATGTCGAAATTTGAAATTTTAAAAATTTAGATTCTATAAATAATATATATTTTTTTTCCATTTATTAATCATACAAGTTTTAAAAAATAGAATAATGCAAATGATAGAAAAGTGAATAAGCATCAATCTAGTTAGGATATATTCATTATATTAGATGTAGTTCATCCCCTAATCAAAAATAAAATTATTCATTATTTTAGATATAATTATTCATTCTATTAGATGTAATTAAGTTTAAAAGATTGAAACAACAAATGAATATTCATAAATTTTGAGGAAATAGTGGGGAGAGATTGTAAATTATTAAAGTGTAATTCAATTTTATTATAGGGTTAATAGTATTTTTAGTCCCTAAAGTATACATATTTTGTCAGTTTAGTTTTTATTATAACAATTTTATCTCTAAAATATTCAATTCGTGTTACTCTGATATCTAATCAGACAATCTGTCAAATTTTTTGACGAAAGTGACCACGTGTCATTTTTTTAGACAGTATCACGTGCTCAACACGTTATCATTTTATCAAAAACTTAATAGTTCGTCTATGTAGAGACTAAAATGACACGAATTGAATACTTTAAAAATTAAATTGACAATTGATAAAATGAGAACTAACTTAACAAAAAATAATTATTTTAGAGACCAACAATTTTAGTAAGAGCATCTCCAAGAGACTTAGATAAACTCTTCCCCTCAGTTATTTTAAATACTTTTTCCTTTAAAAGTGACTCCAACAAACTAGATATCTGACTATCAATTTCTCGTAACCCCCGTTTTTCACTCGATACATGTAGCTAGCCCACATCTCCCTCGCGCCAGTCTCTGACTCTCTCCGGCTCTTCATGGATTGACCACATAACTCCATTGATCCCTATCTCTCTCTGCCTCAAAACTCCATCAAAGCTTCAAATTTGCTCAAAGCTTCCAGTATTCTACCTCTCTCTGCCAGACTCAGACCATCGAAGCTTCAAACCTCCATCGAAGCTTCAGACCATCGTTTACTGCTTCAGGTATTCTAATTTCACCTAAACCCCTCCCCTTAACTGAGTTTCTTATCGATATGCGAAGATAAAACCCTAAAACTTCAAATTTGTTTCTTTATGGTTTCGATTGTCTCGTAGTTCTTGATTTTTGATTGATTGAATATCTGTTTGTAGATCGCATCAACATTTCTCCTGCTTTCAATTCCTTCGAGAATAATTATCTTCTTGTATACTCTCTAATGATGGGTATGCAAATCAACAGATCTGGCCCTTTTCCTCATTCTTAATTTGTAGATATACACGTAGTGTATGTATATGTAAATAGGTTTTAAGTATTCGATGTTTCTGTCTATGTCTATGGCTGCTAATCCGATCCGATCAATGTGATTTCTCTGGAAACCTGCTTGATATGCTTAGTTTGAGAGACCATTTCGATAATGTGTTGTGGGTTTTTGGGGAGACATGGGATCTGGATCTCAGTTCTTATGAGCGTACTGATATGAGGAACATGGTGTGTGATTGACAGTAGGACTTTGATCCCATGGGTTCTGTGTATTAGCTAGGTGTTTTCTTCAACAAGCAATTCTAATTTTAGTTATGTGACTTTATATGCTTTTGTAATTCACAATAGGGTTAATTTCATTTTACACCTCGAAAGATCGTTCGAATCTCAATTTGCATCTTCAAAGAGCAAAAATCTCAATTTACACCCTCAAAGATAGAAATTTGTATCAATGTGCACCCCAAAAATCAAAAATCTCAATTTGCACCCTAAAAGATAGAAATTTATATCAATGTGCACTCCAAAGATAAAAAATCTCAATTTACACTCTCAAAGATTGAAATTTGTATCATTATGCACCTAAAACTAAATTGATAAATTATACCTAGATCCCCTCATACTTGTCAATTAATCATTTGGACTTCTTTACATTTAGAATATTACTCCTACATCTCATGACATTTGTGCACGTACAACATATAACTCATTTTCATTGATATCTGTTAATAAAACCGTTAAAAAATATAATTTTATCATAATAAAAAATTATAATTTCATATTACCCTTATTTTATGGGTTCAATATACTCTAAAGTTCAAAATCAAGATTATTATTTGAATGTTTAATAAAATGTAGATATTTATATAATATTTTTCATATTTTCCTTTATATAAATATCTACGTTTTATTAGATATTCAAATGGTAAGCTTAATTTTGAACTTTAGAATATATCGAATCCACAAAATAAAGGATAATATGAAATTATAATTTTTTATTAGGATAAAATTATATTTTTTAATGATTATATTAACAGATATTAACGAAAAGTGGTTATGTATTACACATGTACAAACGTCATGAGATGTAGTAGTAATATTCTAAATGTGAAGAGGTTCAAATGATTGAGTGACAAACATGAGGGGATCTAGGTATAATTTATCAATTTAATTTTAGGTACACATTGATACAGATTTTTATCTTTGAGGGTGCAAATTAAAATTTTTTATCTTTGGGGGTGCACATTGATACAAATTTCTATCTTTTAGGGTGTAAATTGAGATTTTTGATCTTTGGGGGTGTAAATTAATATTCCAACGATCTTTCGGGTGCAAAATGAGATTAACCCTTCACAATAATGGTACTGGTGGTTTGCAACTGGAAAAGATAAATGTTGAATCCAAAATTCAATTTTCTTTTTCATCGGTTTTCTGGCGAGCAAACAGTAGGAAGCATAATTTGTTAAACATAATCTAAGTGAATGAATTAGATTTAGAAGCCACACAGAGAATCATAACGGTGTTCGTTGCATATTATTTAGACTTTTCTTATTGTGGGGTCACTGAATAGTTGCTTAGCTTGTACTAAGTATGTGGAAAGGAATTAGTTGATTCTACTGTTAGTCTTCTGGATGTTTCTAAATTTTTGGACGGCTATGGGCATTGGGTGGCATTGGGTTAAATTGTTTTGTTCCTTTTGGTATAATATTGAATTGGGTTTTATTGAATTGTCTTTGCATTGGGTTTGCTGGACCTAGAGATTGTCTAAAAGTTATACAGAGTCAAGGATGGTTGATGGTTAATGGTTAATCTGTAAGAGTTGAACACTGTTTGTCTCATCTTATAGGCATTACACATGGATTCATTCTAATATGGTGCATACTTCACCAATCTCATGCATGATGGAACAAATTTAGATGATTAAATTATAAGTCAATCTTTACCAATATCTTCTCAAGTAGAATTCACCATCAAAAAATAACAAGGTGGCAATTTTATAATAGAGGAAGATATTATGATAATTTCGGCGTGCCTTAAAATTTTGAATTTTCTGACTATTGTAAATATGACCGTTATTAATAAAAATTAAAATTTTAAAATTTTGATGACATTGCGTAATACGTTAGCATGTGATGTCATCAATATGGTGATGACATGACATATTAAATAGTATTTTATATTTTATTATTGAAAGTTAATTGAAATAGTTAGTTAAAATAGATAGTGTTGTTGGAGTAAATTTGAAAAAGTGGTTAACTAAAGTAGATAATATAATATTTAAAAATATTTTGAGTAGCTATTTTAGGTAGCGGTGTTGGAGATGCTTTAACTCTTTATTATAATATATACATCATTGATTAACTGTATTATATCGTGAATTTTGTTTATTTGACTTCTTGACAGCTCGCTGCTAGCGTTGTAGTTTTTGTTTCGTAGTTTAAATTTACAATGCAACAATTCAAAGAGTGATGTGTATATACTTAGGTATACACATATAAATTGTACCCAACAATATAAACTCGATAGAAGATGACACTAAAATTGATACGACTAATAAATACGCATAACAAATAAGTTAAATTAGTGTTAAAAACTTGTTATACATTTACTTAGGATTGTGTGCGAAAAATAGATATTTTATTATTTTTTAAAAAAGGTGCATAATATTATATAAGTTGATTTAGAATTTAATAGTTTTTTTTTTGCATGAATATTAACACAAATGTAACACGAATTAAAATGATA